GCCTCCCAGTTGATGCTAAGTATTGAAATTTGAATTTGTGCTAGGAGCATGCAGTGTATCTGTGATTCATGCTGACAGCTCTAGGAACTCAGGCTGACTTTTAGCACAGGGACTGAGGAATTAGTGCTTCTGCATTTGCTTCCCACTTGCTCTGTGTTATTGCCTTCTCTGTGCCTTGCTATCCCTAGCTGACAAAATGGGGACAGCACTTTGGCTGCCCCTAAATGTATTACGTGCATGGGAGCTGGTGAAGTGCTTTGGGATTGCAGGTGTGAGAATGGCACTTCTGGTGAGGCCAGGAGCCTGCCCAGCCCCTGCTTGCACAGTGGCACTGGGAGGTGCCATTGAGGGGATGACACAGTCCTGGCCACTTTTTGCTGTCCATCCTAGAGGATCAGGAGGTGGGATGCTAACCTGAGTGGATTTCACCTCCTGCAGTGCTTGCTCTCCCAAGTGCCTAGCCTGATCAAGGTGCAAGCTACTTCTGCCCTCCGTGGAGGGAGTGGAATGCTCCTGGACCCTTACATGGACAGTCCCCTAAGCTGCAGAAAATGTTGCTTTTCCCCTCCCCTGCCCTATTTGTGAGGCTTTGTCATGACCCAGACCAGGAATTCGACGTGAGTCATGAACAAGCCAACCCTATTCCTGCTCCCTTTGCTTTTTGCAGTCCTCAGGATTTTAGGGTGGTTTGCTCCTCCCTTGCTGAGACCCCACAAAGCACTTAGAGAAGGAGCAGCGCTGCAGCGGGGAGCCAGGAGCTGCTCCAGGCTTGGCGAGGGCGTCACAAGACTCGTCTGTCCTCCCACAGCTCCGACTAGACACAGCTCCTGAGCACAGAACCTTGGGTGTGGTGATCTTCTCTGCTCCTTTCCACTGTGCACGTACGTGCGTGGGCTGTGCTGCCAAGGTATTAATGATTCTTGAGGCAGAACATGTGAGCAGAGGCAGCTGTAGTGCACGGTGAATCAGTGTGAGTACGCTACAGCCTTGGCCTCAGTTAGGGATGCTTTTGTTTTCGGCTGTGTAAGCTCTTGGAGGATATCCTGGAAATAGTGGGATTGTCACCAGAGTTTTGTGAGTTTTGTTCATCTCTGCATTTTAGTGTGTGTGCCTCTGATTTGGCATTGCATCATCAAAGTGTCAAGTTGAACTCAGAAAAAAAGAGAGGCAGTCAGTGCATTTAGTATGAACATGTCAGATAGTATCAGGTGCAGAAATTTCTAACTATTTGCTGCCTGAGAAAGATTTAAAAAGTTATAGTAAAACTTGAAGGAAAATGCTTCAGAACATTTTATTTAATTTATATGAGTATTTGAAAAAAATACACTATGGATAATACTTTAAATAATCTAAAATCTGACAAATTGACTTAACTCAAAATATATGCTAAAAATCGCACATTCTTTTGGACCAAAGCATATGTGCTGAGCAACAACTCTGTATCAAAGCTTTGCAGCTGAGATTTAAATACCTTTTCAAAAGGAATCATATACCATAAATGCTATCAGATGCTTAATTAAGACAGCACAAGCAAGGAGCATGTTTGCAATAAATTATGGGGATGTGTTCTGACAGGCTTTATCTATGAAAAGATTTCTATTTTTATGTGAAGCTATTTACAGATTATTGATTTCAAAAATAGATTTGTAACGAAAGAAAGATGCATCATATTTCAGTTGCTTGGAGTTGAGAATCCTGCCCGGCTGTCTGCCTGCTCTCTTAGATATTTATTCCAGTGGCTTACAAGTGTATGGAGTGATTCTGTCCTTCTTATTTTTCTCTCTCTATTTGGAAGAGGGAATTTGTATTCAGGGACCAGGTCCCAGGTTTGTTACCCACACAAGCAGGCTGATTTTTATGCCTTTGAAGCACAGAATAATTTCAGTGAAGTCTCTGAGGCTTTTTGCATGAGTAAGACTTTCAGATGGCGAAGGTCCCTCACAATATATTTTGTCAGTTGTCACTGTTTTGTTTCAGGGCAGCAAGCTGTTGTCACAGTGTCAGTGGAGCCTGCAAAGCTGTAAGCCTGACTTTGAGTACGTGTAATAGAAACCTTCAGCATAATTTTTTGCTACTTAATGCTGTATGAACATTAGAAGAAATATTTTAATAAATCAAGGCAAAGCCTGAAGGTAGAAGTAATATTTTTTGTTAGAAGAACCTTTAGAATTTGAAAACATGCAAGTTTATTTACCCAAGAGCCTGTCTAATTTTTCCAGCCATGCCAGTTGGTCTAATAAAAGATACTGCCTCTGTCTACAAACCTTGTTCTGCCTGCAAACTCTGTTGATTGCATCTACAGCAAAACACTTCTGGATTATTAAAATAATTCAGGCCTTCTTAGCTTAATTATGGAAACTCAGATTTTTGTGGTTTCCTCAAGTCTCAGATTTTTTAATCCCAACACACATGAAATGATGCTGTCTGATTTCTCATACTGTAGAGGAGAGTTTTATCCCAGGGGAGCTCAAACTGCTTCACTGATTAGAATGGCTTATATTAGAATGGCTATTATAAAGGTAGCCTGCTAAAATTCTTCTGCCATCTGGATGTTAGGGTGTTTTGTAGGATACTGTCAGTCTATACTATCAGCTGCCTGGCATACATGGCCTCTGAAGCAGTCCTGGCTTAGTACCTGTGTCAGCATCTGGTGTGCTGTTGGGGTGATGGGAAGCAGAAGAAATGGGAAGAGGGTGGCAGAACATGATGTCTCTGGTATGGTCTGTGGGTGTAAATCTTTGAATCCTGCTAAGTGTCTGGCTGGGTAAGCAGAGTGGTGTACCCCTTCTAAACAGCAGGAAGCTTGGATTTGGACTTGTTTGGAAGACTATCCCCAGAGCTATCTAGCAGTGCTAAGGCTAGCCAGGCAACAGTTTTTTCAGAGCTTTTTAATGTGCCTTTTAGAGGCCTTCAATGAGTGTGTCTCTTGGATCCAAATCTGGAGCTCTAGACTAGTAGCTTCAAAATAGACCAAAGTGGTGATGATCTGGACCATCTTGGAATGTCCATGGGGTAGCTGCTTTTCCACCCTCGGAGAGCACAAGCCCTTGCTGTAGTTGGCAGAGTTGGGTGTTGCCAGATCACTCGCTCTGCTGCATGCCTTGGCTGAGCCTGTGAGCCTTGCAGGAGCGCTGCTCCTCTCCTGAGCAGCCCTTGCTGTCCCTGGGGAGCCTTGCTGCAGGCAGTGCCCTCCCTTCCCAGTGAAATGGGAACAGGTCGGTGCTTCAGGGGCCTTGACTTCTGTGTCCTGTGCTGCCTTCTGTCTGCCTTTGGGCACGGCTTAAATAGATAGCTGGTAATTACTTGCAAAGCCCTTGGTGGCTGTGGCTGGGGCTATTTTGGAAGCTGATTCTCCCTGCATGCCCTGTTGTGGAAGTTGTGGCTGGAATGGCCTGTCACCCTCTTGCTGTGGTGACCTCCTCTCCTGGGTGTGTGGCAGGGAATTCAGGGGGAGAGCTCTCACTCAGCAATGGCATGTGGTCTCTTAGGCTGCCTGCCAGGGCCTGAACTTGGTGACCTTTAGGATGTGTCAGAAAATGCATTGTAAACCTTGGTTATAGTAACTGGGAGAATGCTGGAGGAGGAGGAGGAACGTATTTTTTACAGACAAGCTGTTTGCTCTCTGTTTATGACCAGCAGATAGTAGGTAAATATACTAAGAAGTGCTGTGACAATTGGAACTTGCTCTTTAATAGAGTTTAAAATGAAGAAATTACACACGTTTCCTTGAGGAGCATGCACATCACACTGAGAGTGCTGTGACTTCTAGCACTGGTTTATGTACTTGCTCTGCTCTCTACTTTGCTGGAATCTTTAAATTCTCTTCTGTAAAATGAATGCACTCATATTTTAGAGATGTCCAGATATAGTTGCTATATCATTACCCATGTAGTTTGGGGGTGTTTTTGTTTCTTTTAAGAAGAGCAAACAAGCCAAGACCTGCAGTCCAGCAGTTGTGTGGGTTACACAAGAATGTGGTTTCATGTAATACCTAATTTTGTATCAGTGGGGATTGTGTCTCCCACCCTGTTCTCCCCACCAACTCCAACGACAGTGTTGTGGCAGGTTGAGCTGGGCTCAGCCTGGGTTCAGCTGACCAGTGGGGTCTACTCAGCCTTTCCCCACCTTTGGCCAGTTGGTTTTGATAGGTGAGGACTTGGACTGGTGAGCTGAACTGACCTGCCGTGGGGCTGCTTTATAACCCCACCTGGTGCCAGGGAATGCAGCAGCACGTGTCTAGCTGGAGGAGCAGGTGAGCAGGATTGCCCCAGTGTGCTAATAACAAAATTAGGAAATATGCCCCTCTTTCCTCATGGCAGAGCCCTCCTGATGAGAAGGACTGTCTGTGGTTTGGTGGTGACAGCCAGCACTTGAGAAGGGGTGCTCATGTTTGTGAAGATCTGCTGGTGAATATTTGCATTGCTCATGTTACAGGTTTGCAGTGTGTTCTTGCTCTGCCTGAATGTGTCTGACCTGGAGAGGACAAAGGATCATCTTTCTACTTTCCTTCCAATTGTTTCTGCTAATTTAGCATCAGTTTGAAGCTTTGTCTTTGCTTAGAGATCAAATGGCCAGGGACAAGGCTCTTTGTTTTCACTCTGTGGTAAAAGCAGCAAGGTCAGTCCCAGTGGGGCTTGTACGGTTTACACTGCTGAATTTATCTCATGTATTAAGGGTTTTCTGTCACCTGCAGCTAATGCATATTGGTAACTCTAGCATCAAAAAATACCCCTTTTCAGCAATGAAAACAAGGTCTCTGTTTGTAAATGCAGTTTTGCCACAATGGATAGGAATGTCTTTGCAGCCATATAAAACAGCCTTCCCAGCTCTCTGTTTTAACATCTCAAAGAGCAGTGTCTTACTTGACCTGCATACTCAGGTCATTCCACTTGGTACTTTGCAAGAATTCCTGAGTGGCACAGGAGTTCCTTCATACCAGGAAACACAACTTTCTGGCAAAACAAACCTTGAACTTAAGCAAGCTTTTCTGTCTCTTTCAGAAATAAGTGAGCATTTGATGATGACAACCTCATGGAGCGACCGACTGCAGAATGCAGCAGATCTCCCTGCAAACATGGATGGCCATGCTCTGAAAAAGTACCGCCGGGAAGCCTACCACCGGTAAGTCATCCGTGAAGCTCCGAAACGAAACATAAATCCCACATTTCTTGGGATTTTTTTTTACTTGTTATTAAAACAGGAAGGTTGTTCTTACCTTCTTCACAGAAGTGTTGGTAGAAGAGAGCTTAGAAGATGGCACAGTATTGGCCTGCAGGAGTTTGCAAACAGCCGAGATACATGTACTAGAGCGAGAGAGGATATGCTTCTCATTGCAGTCAAAAGATTAATCAGATTTTGGATAGAAGCTTTCAAATAAATAAATAATCATTGGCAGAGGTTTTATAATATTTACTGCAGTGCACACTGGGAGAGCAGAGCCTTAGACACTGGAATGCACAAATATGAATAAGAAAGAAATCAAACGGGGTCAGAAATTGAGAATTACATCTAGTGTGATTAACTGTGTGACCACAGGAGCATGCAGGAGCACTTAGGCAAGGGCCCAGCCTTTTCACTGTTAGGTATACCTAACTCCATCTCTGCTATAAAACAATTACAGTAAGTAAAGAAGATAGAGTTCAAAATAAAAGGAATGCTATGACTCTTAGTTTATAGTTGGGGAATAAAAGTGCAACCACTAGGTTGTTTTTACAAGATCACATTGGGGGTTTGGTTGAACTAAGAATTTAGTCCACAGCTCTCAGGGTTGTAAGCATAGAGCATAAAAGACGGATGAAGTCTGTATCCTGATCAGATGTCTGGACTGCTACAGAGTTAAAAACAACAGTATCTAGTAATTGTCAGTATTCTCTTTGTGGGAGGTGTATCTTCAAAGTTTAGCTTCGTTATTTTGAGAAGTCATACAGTGTGATGATGAGAGGATATTCAGCAGAAGGGGAAATGTATTTCTCATGTAGAAAAAGAAACATTTAACCTCATGCTTAAATGCCACGTTGCATTTGTGTGATTCACATTGGTGGTATTTCTGGGGAAGTGTTTTGGAAGTGTTAGATATCTTTTGATTCTCCAAATGGAATCTAATTTGAGAAAAACGCCTTAGTGCATCATATGATTGGCCAGGTTGTGCAAGTTGCAGTGTCCAGGGCTAAGTGATGGATCCTGTGATGCATTTCTGAAGCTTTCCAATTTCCAATGAATATGTTTGAGCAATATGTCTTAAGTGCTGGCATTATTTGAATCTCTCTGTCAGCTCATTTGTCAAATATGGAAGCATTTAAAGAATGTAACTATATATAGCATGTAATAAGAGAGGGATTTTATACCATGCCCTGTCAAAAAAATCTTCACCTTGTTGCAGTCATTGACAGGTTTACCTTTGTGTAATAAATTTATTTAAAACTTCAGCTGTGTTACTTCTGATTCAGATTGATGGAAGTCAAGCCGGAGTGATGCCTATATTTTTTTCTAAGTATTTCCTTAACATTTGTTATGGTTAAGTGCTGACAGTTTGCTAAATGTTGTACATGATCCAAAGGAAGCTGTGCTTCTCTTTAAGAGCTCATACATTAAAGTCCTCATCACATTTACCCTTACTTGTGTAAGAAATCCTTACTTCAGAAAAGAAATCCTTTTGGAAGATGGGAGTGCAGTCACGTAAAGGAGGGCTGCCCACTAGGAGCTGGGATCTGGTAGCCCAAAATTAGTCTGTGGTAAAGTTTAGGTACCTGTTTTTAGCGTCGAGAAATGTCTTATGCAAAACATACTGGGCAGAAATGCTGCTGTCATCTCAGATTTTCATGGAAAGCACAACACTGGGAATACTAGGGAGGCACAATATTAAGGGGAGGCGCATTTTTGTTTTGGAATTGCTATCCTCTTTCAAAGAGAGAGAGAGGGAGGGAATGGGAGAGATGAGAGAACTTGATGCCAAGACTGTAGTATAAATATAAATCTAAATATAATATAAATCTGTGCTATTAATGGCTTTGGTATACCAGTTTCATGGGAGTTATTTTGATAATCCAGTATTGTAAGAATCTGAAACAACCTCATTCCAGAGGCAGTGTTGTCAGATTTCTATTTCTGGTACTTTTCATGGTCGTAGTGTTATCAGATGTGATGTTACTTTAAAAAGTGCAAACTTAACATGATAAAGTATGACTGAAGTGATTTCCCCTTGGTGTTTGATATTTTATTTTTTAGTGTTTTATTAATCCTTCAGATGCAGAATACATGTGCTGGTCACAGCCATGAGTTGTAGGATGTAAATTTATTTCACTAAGGTCCAGGTATGCTCTGACTCTTGGATATTGCTGAAGCACTGCAAATTTTATGAAAAAGAGAAATTGAAAATACATGGTGTCGTTGTCAAGATTATTTTCGTTTTCTTTTTCTCTTTTTCTTTCAGTCTTTTTTTTCTGTCTTTTTTTTTTCCTTACTCCAGCAGCTAAAGGAAAAATACTTGAAAACATGAACCTAAAGTGACTTAGACACAAAACCAATAACAACATTGAATTTAAACCTGTTATGTTCTGTTACCTTAAAGCTGGTCAAAGTTATTTGCCCAGTTATGTGCCCAGTCTGAAAGGCTGGTGGAGCTTGGCAGCTACACATTTACAGATGAGAATAAGTGGGGCTAGCTTTTGTTACCTGTGTTTAAAGCCTAGTTGAGCTCAAATTCAGCAGATTTTCTGCTGAAATGCTGTTAGGAATGCCTAGTTTTCTGAAGTGTGAAATGTAAAAAACTTATTTTACTGTTTGTTTGCTTTGTGCTTACATAAATACTGGTGGAGAGACTTAGACCAATCAATTTAACATTCTTGCTCTCATGAAATACACTCGATTTGATATGCTTGAATTGTAAAGGAATTCAGACAAAATATGGGGAAAAGCTTCCAAAAACAAAAGAGTAACCTTAAAAAAACATGTAAATGTTCTTGTGGCCATGAAACTTTTAAAAACTTAAAAAAATTATCTCTGAAGATACTACTCTAATAGTCATAGTTTACGGTGGTCATTCTTACTTGGAATGTATTTCAGATGCTGCACTTCTAATTGTATCATAATTGATGGATAGATATTCAGCATATAATAGTTGTTGGCAGAAGTCTCAGTTGAGACTGGTTTAACTGGTGTAGTGCATATTGACTCAGAGTATAATGACTATATCATCATCATATCTGAATGCCATGGGCAAGAATGTTCAGAATCAGATTTTTATAGCTATAGAATCAGAAAAATCTGTTGGGGAGGAGAAATGGTGGGGTTTTATCCTCAGGGAATTTCTGACAACTTTAATGAAAGCTTTTGGTTGGCTGGTGCTGCTGTCAGACCTTGTTGCACAACACAGCTGGCGCCTGTTGGAGGTGAGGTCTGTAGATGAATTAATATGCAAGCTACATGTTACTCATTCTCTAGCAGAGGTCACTGGTAAGAGGATACTGCATTACTGTGCTATTGGCAGCACAGATTTTAATTCGGAAATAAAATGGATGTGCAGTTCTTGGGAGGCTTTTCCTTGGTGTGTGTGGTTGTGAGGCCACCTCCCTCATGTGCTGCTTGTTGACTTTTCCGGGTGGAGGATAATCACTAGATCATTTGTTCTGGAAGAGCACTGTCATTTAATGTGATTGTAATTAGGCAAGAACTAGGTTGACTCTGAGCCACCAAATTGCCCTAGTGTCTATTTTTTAACTTGGAGTGAGCACTTCTAGGCACCCTCTGGATTATCTCACATAGCTCTTTAGAGTTTAAATAGCAACCCCATCTAGTTAAAGCAAATAATGGAAAAAGTTGGTGTTCCATCCACTCTTGTTACTGACAGTTACCAAGATCCAGGAAACAGGTATTTGCACTTATATTTATTTATCTGTGGTTTTGGCTTAACAGCTGAAACGTCCTTTTGGTTAAACATACTGACTTTGGGATGCTTCTACCATTTTGCATCAGAATAATTGGAGACTTCTCATCCTGAATGTGGGGGTTCTGTTGTTGTTTTTACTGTTGGGCTTTTTTCTTGCTCTCTTGTTTTCTGGCTAGTGCAAGATGTGTGGCATCATGATTCCTAATCCTAATTCTCCTGCTGACTGCTGATAAAGTATTGAGTAAGTTTCTTCGTAGTTTTGTACTTCAGTTTGGTTACAGTCGTGATATAAGTGGTTTTAGCTGTTACTATACACTGAGACTCTGGATTAAAAAATAGTATATGATTTAATAATGACAAAGCAAAAGGATTGCCAATTCGTTGTTTTGATTTCATGTATTAAAGATGTACTTTAGCTTGTTCAAATTTGTAGACTCTGGGCTGTTCACTGCTAATCTTGTTTGTTCACTTAATTGTTACTGGATCACCAGTGATTGCAAACAGGTGGAAATGTTGTATAAACAAGGCTGTGAGATTTGAAACTGTTCATCTGTTTAGGTGGTTATATTTAAAATCACTTCAAAATGATCAGTTCACCGAGGTGGAAAACTGGAACAAATCTTTACCAGTCTGAAAGTGCTCTTTGCATGAAACACAACTGGACAGGCCACGTGTGGAGTTTCCCTGTGGCTCTGGGTGGCTCTGGAGGCTCTGCTGGCCGTGGGCTGTCCTCGTGTGTCTGAGCAGCCTCCTCGGACCTGTGTGGTGGCATCTGTGTGACACGGGGCAGCCTGTGGCTCCCTCTGGTTTGTTTTACTGCTTTAGGCACTGGAGGAGGGAGAGGGACTGTGTCAAGTCTGTGGAATGGGTGAGCTTATAAAAAAGCACACCACTTGCCAAATTAATAATAAAGAAATTACATTGTAAAAGTCCCATGATCCTTAGCTTTAATAGTTTCAGGGAGCAGACAAGTGTTATTTTGGGATGGAATCCATATGTGAGCTTCTTGGCACTTTGCTGTTGCCTGGGAAGAAAACCCAAACAATGAAAATAGAAATGGCCAAGGCTCTCTCTTTGCATCCGATTCCTGCATAATTTTAGAGGGAAGTGCTCATAGCTGTGTTTCTGGATACAGCCTCATCAGGCTTTGAATGCAGTCATTACTGGATTTTCCAGTTTAATGTCACTGTAACTGTGCAAGGACATTTAGACTTGTAAAATGGTGGGGCATGGTGTT